CAATCCACGATTCCTGTCCCCAAGCATGGAGTCCCTTCGCTTACAGGGGCCACAGTCCGAAGGGGAAGGAGCCACACAAACCCAAATAGCAAATGGGCAGGTGACAATGCTACCTGCCGTCAGTGCTGTTGGCTGCCCGTCCAGACGGGCCCCGACTCCTGCCATGGTGATCCACCGGGTTTCCATGGGCTGATTTTTGGAAGGAGCTCACGAGTCTGTCTTCCGATGCATTTTAGTCTAGAAGCTCTGCTGAAATCTGCCCAGCATCACACACCTCCACTGACAGGCAGCCGGGCATCACCCCGGGGCTCCCGAGAGGACGGTGAGAATCTTACCAGGGACCACCACTTCCCGCTGCACAGTGCTGCTGTTTGGGGCATGGAGTCCACTCCCACTCAGGGACCCGACACAGGGTTTCTGAGACGGAACATCTTTACGGGCGCAGGGAACTCGGCTCTCTCCCGCAGAGAGGCCGGTGGCTCTTTCTCCACTATGATCTTGAAACTCCCACCAAAATGACTGAGTACTGAGACCAGAAACCCATGTGTCACCCAGACCTCTTCCTGACCCTCCTCACCTCTTTCCCCGCTGCCCCAGCATCCAGCCTGTCCAGGTCTCCATCCAGGTGCTAAGCTTGGTCCAAGCCCCACCATCCCTTAGGTGGACAGCCACAAAGTCCACCTTCGTTCCCCAAACTCCGGCCTGCGACTCTCCAGTCCCTCTCCTTTCCTCAAAGGCCCCAGGCTCATCAGAAGGTATTCCCATCGTGTCAGCCCGATTCAAACCTCCCAAGAGCTTCACCCACCTCAAACATCGTGCTTGGGAAGGTCAAGGTCAGCAGAAAAGAGGAAGGCCCTGAACAAGCTGGACCGACACAGCGGCTGCAACCTTGAGCTCAAACACGGTGAGGAGGGCTGGACACAAGGCCAGTTTGAGGCTGACTGGACAGCACCCAACAGCAAGAGCCCCCTGCGCGTCAGGAGGCCCTGGGGGGCAGAAAGGGTCAGCTCAGCTGCTAACCAAAGGTTGGAGGATCCAAGCAACCTAGAGGCACCTCAGGAGAAAAGCCTGGCAACCTCTTCCCCAAAACCAGTGACTGACAGCCCTGTGGAGCTCAGTGTCACTCAAACACACATGGGGTCGCCGCGTGTCGGAGTTGACTTGACACCAACTGTTTGTTTTGTGCCCTTAGGTCCAAGCTTGGCACGATCTTGCCCCCACGGTCCCTGTTCATCCCGGGCGCTCTCCCTGCCCCAGGGCAACACCTCCTTTGTGCTCAGAGGAGGTTAGGGCCTCCGCGCTGGGTGTCCCCTCTGCCCAAACCTTCTCAGCGCCCCCCTTCCCCCAGTCTCAGCAGCATCACCGCTTCAGAGGAGCACACCCTGCTTCCCCGCCCTATGTGGTCCTCACTCCTTTTGTTTGCAGTCCTGGTGCTGTAGTGGTTGCACACTGGACTGTGATCCACAGGTCCGAAGTTCAAAACCACCACCCACTCCTTGGGAGAAAGACAGGGTTTTTTCAACTCTGGTTAAGGGGCAACAGTCTCAGAAACTCACAGAGGCAGCTCTACCCTGTCCTCTCGGGCAGGGACTCGATGTCAGGGAGCTGTTTGTGGGTCACAATCACAGCTGTCCTTCGCTCCTCTGTTGCAGGAGCCACTTGTCTGTCTCCCCCACTGGGGACAGAGATCTGTGATTGGTCCATTGGTCTCCAGACCCTGCAGGGAGTCAGGGTCTCTGAAAGCAGTTGCTGGGCTGGGGTTTGGAGTGCAAGGTTGTGATCAAGGATCAGTGCCTATGAAGGGAGCAGGATGGAGCAGAGGAAAAGTTAAACTACCTGCAGGACCGGAACCCAAGCCAACTGAATAATGAGACTGTCCTACAGGCATACTAAGCGCCAGAGCTTTTCAACCACCTTTTTGCTAGGCCACCAGATGCTCCAGTCCCGGGAGTGGCGTGGCCTTGGGCAAGGCAGCTTGAAGCAGCTGGGACAAACCCTGAA